TTCCCATGATTAATAATGTTCTTTGCACTCACTGTCTAAATTAATGCGAATGAAATGATTTGAAGGATATTACGTAATGGTAAATAAGTATTATGTTCTTGATTTGTGAACTTGTTTTAATTTCGATGATTAATAAATGTTCTTTATGCTCACAGGCTGAATGAAGTGATTCAAAGCGTATTACGTAATGATAAATAAGTATTATGATTCTTGATTTGAACTTGTTCTTGATTCCAATGATTAATAAGTGTTTTTTATACTCACACACTGAACGAAATGATTAATGAGAATGAAATGATTTGAAGGGTATTACGGAATGGTAAATAAGTATTATGTTCTTGATTTGTGAACTTGTTTTTAATTCCAATGATTAATAAATGTTCTTTATACTCACTAACTAAATGAAATGATTTAAAGGGTATTAGGTAATGGTAAATAAGTATTTATGTTCTTGATTTGTGAACTTGTTTTTAATTCCAATGATTAATAAATGTTCATTATAGTCACCGACTAAATTAATGCGAATGAAATGTTTGAAGGGTATTAGGTAATGGTAAATAATTATTTATGCTCTTGATTTGTGAAATTGTTTTTAATTCCAATGATTAATAAATGTTCTTTATACTCACAAGCTGAATGAAATGATTCAAGGTGTATTACGCAATGGTAAATAAGTATTGCTGTATTATGATACTTGCTTTGTGAACTTGGTTTTAATTCCAATTATTAATAAATGTTCTTCATACTCACTCACTGAATGAATGATTATTGCGAATGAAATGATTTGAAGGGTATTAGGTAATGGTAAATAGTATTATATTATTGATTTGTGGACTTGTTTTAATTCCAATGATTAATAATTGTTTTTCTCTATACTCACTCACTGAATGAAATGATTTGAAGGGTATTACGTAATGGTAAATAAGTATTATGTTCTTGATTTGTGAACTTGTTTTAATTTCGATGATTATTAAATGTTCTTTATACTCACAGGCTGAATGCACGTAATAGTAAATAAGTATTATGGTGAACTTGGTTTTAATTCCAATGATTAATAAATGTTCTTTATACTCACACACTGAACGAAATAATTAATGTAAACGAAATGATTTAAAGAGTATTAAGGAATGGTAAATAAGTATTATGTTCTTGATTTGTGAGCTTGTTTTTAAATCCAATGATTAATAAATGAGTGACGAAAAAGGAAAACCTGTAAATCATTTCATTTATTATGTGAAATGATTTACAGGTTTTCCCTTTTCGTCACTCAAATGTTCTTTATACTCACGCACTGACCGAAATGATTAATGCAAATGAAATGATTTAAAGGTGTTACGGAATGGTAAATAAGTATTATGTTCTTGATTTGTGAACTTGTTTTTAAATCCAATGATTAATAATTTTTTTTTTATACTCACTCACTGAATGAAATAAATGCGAATGCGAATGAAATGATTTGAAGGATATTATGTAATGGAAATAAGTATCATATTCTTGATTCGTGAACTTGTTTTTAATTCAAATAGTTAATAAAGTTCTTTATATTCACCGACTAAATTAATGTGAATGATTTGAAAGGTATAACTTAATAGTAAATAAGTATTCTTGATTTGTGAACCTATTTTTAATTCCAATTATTAATAAATGTCCTTTATACTCACTGTCTAAATTAATGCGAATGAAATGATTTGACAGATATTACGTAATGGTAAATAAGTATTATGTTCTTGATTTGCGAACTTGTTTTAATTTCGATCATTCTTTATACTCACAGGCTGAATGAAATGATTCAAGGTAATATGTAATGGTAAATAAGTATTACTGTATTATGATTCTTGATTTGTGAACTTGTTTTAAATTCCAATTATCAATAAATGTTTTTATACTCACCCACTGAATGAAATGATTAATGCGTATGAAATTATTGAAGGATATTACGTAATAGTAAATAAGTATTATGTTCTTGATTTGTAAACTTGTCTTTAATTTCGATGATTAATAAATGTTCTTTATACTCACAGGCTGAATGAAATGATTCGAAGTGTATTGCGTAATGGTAAATAAGTACTATAATTCTTGATTTGTGTACTTGTTTTTAATTCCAATAATTAATAAATGTTTTTTATACTCACACACTGAACGAGATGATTAATGCGAATGAAATGATTTCTTGATTTGTGAACTTGTTTTTAATTTCAATGATTATTAAATGTTCTTTATACTCACATACTGAACGAAATGATTAATGAGAATAAAATGATTTAAAGGGTATTATGGTAAATAAGCATTATGTTCTTAATTTGTAAACTTATTTTTAATTCCAATTATTGTCTGGAGCGTAGCGGAGGGCTTACACATTTATGCATGTTGATAACCAAAATTACGTTCTTGATATATTTTGATTAAAAATATCAATAACATAGGTTCGGTATTTTTCATCTGTAACACCACGTATCTAGAGATGGGGAAATCGAATCTACTGCGCAGCCTGCACGGGCCTGCATTTCGGCTAATGCGGGCCAGAATTGTTAAATTCTGCGACATTTCGAAAAATTCCGGGCTTCCGAAAAATTCCGCCAGCGCGGTGTCCCATCTCTAAATTTGCATAGTCGTGTAACATCAACAAAAAAAACAAAATTTACGTGTTCGTCTGATAGGCTCCAGACCGGTTCCTAGTTAATAAATGTTCTTTATACTCACCGACTTAATGAAATCGAATGAAATGATTACATGCAGTAAATACGTATTATGTTCGAGGTGGTACCATTAATGTTACACATCTAATCCACACACGTGATTAATTAAATAGAATTATTTATGCTGAACTCAAACTCTATAGTCTATGTGATAGACATAATTCCTCACCAGGTAAATATATGTGTAACATTAACGGTCCCTCCTGTAGTATTATGTTCATGAATTTGTGAACTTGTTTTTAATTCCAATGACTAATAATATTCTTAATACTCACCCACTGAATGAAATGATTAATGTGAATGAAATTATTTGAAGGATATAACGTAATGGTAAATAAGTATCATGTTCTTGATCTGTGAACTAATGTTCCTTATACTCACATACTGAACGAAATGATTAATGCGAATGAAATGATTTAAAGGGCATTACGGAATGGTAAATAGGTATTATGTTCTTGATTTGCGAACTTGTTTTTAATTCCAATGATTGATAAATGTTCTTTATACTCACCGACTAGATAGATGCGAATAAAATACGTAATGGTAAATATGTATTATGTTCATGATTTTGCGAACTTATTTTTAATTCCAATGATTAATAATATTCTTCATACTCACCCACTAAATGAAATGATTAAATGAGAGTGAAATGATTGAAGGGTATTGTGTAATGGTAAATAAGTATTATGTTCTTGATTTGTGAACTTATTTTTAATCTCATAATTAATGAAAGTTCTTTATATTCACCAACTAAATTAATGTGAATAAAATAATTTGAAGGGTGTTAAGTATTGGTAAATAAGTATTATGTTCTTGATTTGTGAACTTGTTTTTAATTTCAATAATTAATAAATGGCTTTTATACTCACACACTGATTAAGGCGAATGAAATGATTTGAAGGTTATTACATAATGGTAAATAAGTATTATATCTAGCTTTGTGGACACTAAGAGGAAATTTTGATGGTAAATCGTAAATTTTCTCTTAGCGTCCTATATTATTAATAATTACACTAGATCTTGGATATTTTGTCACTACGCAAAAATGTAAGATTTCTGCAATATTGTTTTTAGTTCCAATGATTATTAATAAATGTTCTCTATACTCACCGACTAAATTAATGCAAATGATATTATTTGAAAGGTATTTCGTAATGGTAAATAAGTATTATTTTCTTGATTTGTGAGCTTGTTTTTAATTCTAATGAGTAATAAATATTCTTTATACTCACTGACTAAATTAATGCGGATGAAATGATTTGGAGAGTATTACGTGATGGTAAGTAAGTATTATGTTCGTGATTTGTGAACTGTTTTTAATTCCAATATTCTTTATACTTACGGGCTAAATTAAACACAAATAATTAAAATTTATGAATTTAATTAGCTAATATGAATATTAATAGATTTTTTATACTTACTCTCTGATAATTAATATCGGTTAATCAAAATCAGTTGATCAAAGTTTAAGATATTCCAAAATTTTAAAACAATAAAATTAACAAATTAATTTACTTTTGAATCCATTCTGTATATTTATTATTATTTTTTTCTACGCCAATCCCAAATTTGTAACAAATAGCAGCCTTATAGATTCCATTAAGATTATTCAATTCGGCAGATTGTTGGTAATGTTCGAATGCTTTGTTTTTATCTTTTTTAACTCCGATTCCTAAATTATAACAATATCCAACCTGATACATTCCATTAGAATTATCCATTTCTGCAGATTTTTGGTAATAAATGAATGCCTTATTTTCATCCTTTTCGACTCCAATACCATATTCATAACAATAACCGAGACCATTAATTCCTTCAGTATGCTCCATATTGGCAGATTTTTTGAAATGAGTAAACGCTTTAAATTCATCCCTCTCAACCTTAATTCCATGAAGATAAAAGTATCCTAATTCATATGTTTCATCGGCAAATGGACTTTATAGTTATAAACTAGTAATTTAACAGTTACAACAGGTCAGAATAAATACTTATAAAACGAATATTTAAGGATGCATACCAAAGATTTATACCACGATCTGGTTGTTTAGCAGATATATATTGTTGATTAGAGGATAACTTAATAAATAATTTTAAAATAAAACATTATGTACACTTACGAAAAATCAAAAAGATATTGATCAATTTAGTTTATGTCACCACAAACGTAATTAAAAAAAATCATAATATAATATTAAGCTCACTCCCTATTAATTCAATATGTCTATAATTAATTAAAGAATGTGAATATTCTTGAAGCAAAATAACCTTATATTTACTTTTTACTAATTTCTATAAACATTTTTGATGCCCATTCATCATTTAGATCAATTTTCAGTAATGTATTCACATCTTTTAATGATTCCTTATATCTTTCCATTAAATAATAGATCTCTCCTCGGTATCTTAGCGCAAATTTACTGGGTTGTTCAATATCGAGCAATTTTGTTAGATCAAGAAGTGCCTCTTCATATCTTTCCATTATAAAATTGAATTTTCCCTGATATTTAAAAGCATATACAGTATCTTGTTTCATTTTTAGCAAATTTTCTAAATCTTCAAGTGCATATATATTCATCGCACTATTGCACATATTAAATGCTTTGATCCATTTTTTTTTCAATAATTCATCATCTAAATCATCACCAGTAATTGCTAATTACAAAAAATCACGATATTAAACTACAAATAAAGAAATAAAGGAAACATGCACTTATAACTAAGGATGGCACTGAAAGTGGATACTTTCAGCATCTACTGAAACCGAAAGTCAATTTAATTTACAAAGTGTGTACTTTCAGTACCTACTGAAACCGAAAGCTAATTTAGTTTACTGACAAAGTCGATAACCTTAACGAAAGTCAAAAGTCTTACAGAAATTTTAGGACATGTTTTGGTATATCAAAAAAGTAGGTGGAGAAATATCAAAAATGAAAGTTTTTCATCAGAAATGACTTGGCTTTTGTCGAAATTTATGTCATGTGACATTATTGAAATCACAAGTCCGATGATTTTATCTGGGTAAAAACAGAATTTTGACTTTAGGTACACCAAAATACTTTCAGAGCCATCCTTACTTATAACTATCCAGTGTTACCTGTATATTTAAAATTTTTATGACCAAAATTTATTTCTAAAGAACCACCTTGCGACATCAATCCGACACAAGGATACATGGTGCCTTTTAAACCTCGTAATGCAATACCTTGAAATTTGTTATAAAATATTAAAACTGATATATATATTTATATGTATATATATAACGACAAAACTATAAGTTTTTACAATAACTACCTAAATTTATACCATTTTTAGTATAGAATACAGTGTTATTTATAAAATTTAAACAGCATCCAATGGTATCTCCGGTAGAAAATGATGGTCCATAAGGACGGCCACTCCCTGAGCAGCAAAAAAACTTGCCATCATCTCCGTGATAGCCCCAGGAACAATTTTCCCATCCTATAAAAAACATTATGTGTGAATATGTTCAATATGTAAAAATATAATTTTAATTACCAGGCATTCTGTTTAAGTCAACTGTCTTTTCGCAAAATCCAATTCCAATAATTCTTTTGAAAGAATAGAATAGAATAAAAAAAACTATAAGCAAATTTTAAATTAATTTATTTAAACTTAAGGCAAACTATATCTTCAACATACTTATTTCTTCCTTCATCTATTATGTCAACTTCAAAATAAAACAACTTGCATTGTGGAGAGATTGGATGATTTGCCCGTATTGCACCAATTTCTTTTTCACTTTCTCCCAAACCTATGTATTTAAAATAAAAGTGTATTTAGAAATGTTTGCCAAGTTAACCAACATTTATAGTGGGTGAATGTGCATAATCATGAGCAAGGTATTTGATTCGCATTTATAATTCGAGCTAAACAGGCTGAAATTTAAAAAAAATTCAATTTGCAATCACTGATTCCTACCTTCATAATTCACTCTAAGTCCGCTCGAATCTATGCTCAAAAAAGTAGATTTATCATTGAGATTCCAGGCAGTTGGTAAATCCATAAAGCGTGAAAGGTGGTTGAGCTAGTTTTAAATTTAATTTAAAATTAATATAAATTTTTTATTTTGAGCTACTATTAAATTTGTAGTGAATTTCTAATCTTAACAATAAGATGGAAGAATTTAAATGTTAAGTACTAAAATTTTATTACTGATAATTTTATCAATTTAAAAAAATTATAAGTATTACTTTTTTAATCATATAAAGATTCGAATTTCATTAAAACAAATAAAGGATTACTATATATTGAAAAATTCTATAAAGTTTGTCGCAACTTTATAAATTTGATCAGTAGACATGTTTTTACTTCTATACTTTTAATATTTACCGGTTAAAGTAATTTTTGATTTTTAAGAGTAGATATCTTTACCCCAATTTTTTAATTTCTATGTATTAAAACTCAGCTTTATATTAGTCAGTTCAGATGATCGACGCATCCAAATTTTATAAAATAAACAAAATTTGTTTTTTAGACACGTTTAACAATAAAGATGTTGTTGGTTTAATCTATAGATATCATTTAACAAATTCTCTTGCATTTAAAGGTTCTTTCTATAAAATTTCAAGGGTTTTGAGAATAAATCCAGAAAGAATTAAGTTAACCAATTTTTAACGATTTTTACTATTTGTTATCATTACGTATATGTTGTTTTACTCGAAAATACCCAAAAAAGGTTATGATGAGCAGCCAATTAAATTTAGGTAACTGAGTGTACTAGGAACAGAGTTTGTACAATGTACAACGTAGTGTATTAGGGTGGTATACGGCATATTTAATCATAAGTAGCTGCGCAATGTTGTCGCGCGAAACCAGGAACGGGAGAAATCTACACAGACACCATTTCAGTCACGGAAAACCATATTCTTCCTTGCAATCCATTTCTGGACAAGAAAATGATTATTTATAAAAGTTGATAGTACTTGCAATCTGAATATTAGTTTGAATTTCAGTGACTGAGCCTAAAAATCTATTAAGGAAGTCAATGTCTGACTGCTATATAGTTGGTTAGCTAGCATCACCCAGTTCCGTTGAATTAGAAAACATTAAAAATCTACGAAACATATCTGTATTTAGAAATGATCGACGAATTCTTTCGATTAAGTCCTTGACGATCAGTGATTATCATTTTATCTGCCCGATAAAAAATTCGATTAAAAAAAATGAGGCCTTTAAATTTATATTGGGACTATAGTTGTTAGACGAAACTGTTTTTGGGAAATGACGAAAGACGAAACCTAAACCCGTCGAAAGACGAAACCTGATGAAACTCTGATGAAAGATGAAACCCCTGACGAAAGACAAAACCCCTGACGAAAGACAAAACCCCTGACGAAAGACGAAACCCCTGACGAAAGACGAAACCCAGTGAAAGGTGAAACCCACAGTGAAAGGCAAAAAGGCAAACTCCTGGTGAATCGTTGCTTATAGGTTACTCAGCATGCCATCTTAGAGAAATTTGCATGTCACTATTATCCCTGTTCATTCATTTTTATATTGATTTTTTATTAGATATATAGCTGTTTGCGCAAATGCACCTTTTTATAAAATACGATTGATCAATGCTTTAAAAGTAATGTTGAATAGTTACGATATATGAAATAAACAATTAGAATTAGAATAGTTTGAATATGTGGAAATTATATCAGTAATATGTATGTTCGTATAAATTAAGGAAAATCAAGATATAGCCTGCTACACATAGGTAGAGAAGCCCCATATGCAAATTAAGTTGCATATTGATATAGATTTATACATGCTGTCAAAAGTATTTCAGCATAATTTCCACTTGAATTTTGGCATGCGGTATTGCCTAAAGCTAAAATTTGTGCTGCAAATATCTTAAGCCAAAATTAATACCACAAGTAGATATCATAAAAACTATTTTAACTTAGTATAAGTATTTCAGCATTTATTTTTGATATGAAATTGCTTAGGATTTTTATAAATTTATATACCGAAACACTTGCCATGTCTAAATAGTTTCTATGAATGCATGTTAATAAAATTGCAACTATCAATTTAGATTATGGCTTGTATTTTAGATTGCAACCATCAATTTAGATTATGGCTTGTATTTTAGATTGCGGCTTTTGCTTCAGATTGCGACTTTATTCAACATAGCCACAACTAGTTTCTATGCATGTATAATATAAATGTCAATGCCTTATACTGATACATAATTTCTAATTAGTTTGTAAAAATAGTACAGTAAGAAATAAGTAATCATATGTATAAAAAAATATTCAATTATATCCATGTATTGTATAGAAATACTTAACTTGCCGTTTAACCATATACTCTGTTCCTGGCAAAGAAAGATAATTATTTAAAAAATTTTTTATATATTATTAAATAATTAAGATTTTATTTTTATATTTTATT